TTCAATGACAATTATTTCGCGTGATTGAATAAATTAGCTCAAACGCTAAAGGCCGCAAAGTTGCTCTATTGATAAGCGCCCTTTTGAAAATTTGAATTTTTTCGATTTGTTTTTTTTTCTTTTTTTGTATTTTAGTTTGTATTTTTGATTTATATTCAAAAAAACTCCATTTCCCGTGAAATACGGATTTCGATGAGTGCAGGAGTCATGATTGCTGAGAGCGGTCAGTTTTTAACAACAATTTTTGAAGCTTTTTTTCAAAAAATAATATTTATTTTTGGTTATGTTCTTTGAATGTTTTCAAAAATTTTGTTCAATTGAATAGAAGTGGAATGAATTATTTTTTAAAGCCCAAACGTTTTCGTCTATTTTCTTCATTTTTATTGAAATCTTTACGAGAAATAAGGAAATTAAGGATAATTTATGTTTTTTTGTGAGCTCTACTTTCAACTTTGAAGTCTTGAGACTTTTCAAATTTAAAATTTTTTTCGTTCGAGAAAAGGGATGTGGATTTTTTTAAAATTTTTTACGGAAACTCTGCAAAATTAGAGTACCTGAAATATTATTTAAACTAGTAAGTTTCACTTCAGAGCCCTCATCTTGCTAAATTTCAATTTTCCCCTTCTCAAATTCATCTTTTTTTGTCCGCCACCATGAAATTACAGAGAATAATGTGAGGTCGTTCTCGTTTCCGTTCAATTTAGAAGAGAGAAAAAAAAACGTTTCAATTTCGAATGTGCCGGCGCCAGACGATGAACGATTGCGAGCCGCCGAGGCGACGGCTCATCGGAGATGGAAAAATGTGCGCCACGGCTAATCGAGTGTGAACAACCCAATGGCCCATCTCACTTGCATGGGACCACGGAAGTTGACAAAAGGCCTTTTTTTGAGATAGAGAAAATGTACGGTAGGAAGTTTCATTCATCGGTTTTTTTTGGCGAAGAAAAAAAATTTTCAGGATTTTAACGATTTTATAGTAAGATGGTTCTGAGTAATTTGCCTCGTTATTTTTTTTTCAGAAGAATATTTGAAAATCTACCGTATCCACAGCTTCGTTTCGAGACCTGTAAAATAAGGATACATGGTTTTTGGCGGAAAAAAACGTGAAAAGGAATTTTTTTCAAACGTAATGCTTCTCGATCCGAATTTTGGAGGGGAACCGGTGAATTTTCTTAAAAGATGGGCCTCATTTTGAAAAATTTAAGGCTCAAAATAATTTTTTTAACGGAAGCAGAAAATTTTTAATGAGTATACGGTAGTTACTGGCGTAATTTTTGATAAATCCTGGTTTTTTAAAATTCAAATTACAGCCAACAACTATTTTTAAACGTATTTTTAAACTATTAAACTATTTTTAAAAGGTACCTAGATCGAAATGACGTCATTTTTTTCAATGAAAGCTTAGAAGTAATTAAAACTGACGTATAATATGGCTTTTTTAGTTGAAAAATGGTTCTTTTTGGACTTTTTTCTGGCTGGAATTAACGCTCAAACTAGCAGAAACCTCAACTTCTTGCAAGGAAGAGAGAAACTTTACAATAAACCTTCTCCAATGGAAACACTGTAGGAGCGGAAGCAGAGCTTATCAAAATACGGTCACGGCAATCATTGATAAGACTGATGGGAAAGGAAAACACGGGGGCGATGTGATCGCATCAATCACGGGCGGCTGTCAAAAAGACGACGTCGCCAAACACCCCCCGAAGGCGAACGCATTCGTCAATGCAGAAGACGAACTTCCGATTCTGCTCCCAGTCCAAAGTTTGACAAGGACTTTGTTGGAATTCGTTCTGACGGTTCTTTGGTTCTCCAAGCAGCTGGTCTCGAAATTCGGCTATTACTATTCCAAGAAGGGCTTTCTTGATCAACGACGGTTCCGTGAACCGGACAAAAGCTTTAACCATCATTCAGCACAGAATCTTATCTGAAGGCTGAATAAATGTATAAAAAAAGTCTTCTTGGGTGGAATTTTCAAACTTTGATTTTTTTCTTTATTTTTTACTACGTAGTTTTCTAAAGAAAGGATTTTTTCAATTTCTCGAGTAGAAAAAAAAGAAGCCACAGTTTCTTGTGAAAGAAAAAAACTTTTACAATGAAAGAATTATTATTTTTGAGCCGTCTTTTTCCGGATTTTCAACTAGTTTTAATGACGCCCTATGAACATTTTTTTCAAAGAAAAATTTCACTTATCCAGCCGAAAAAAAGTTTTGGTTTCTTTTTTTGAAAAAAATTTTATATGTATTTCAATCAATATTTTTTTCAATATTTATTGGTTGTTTTAGTCAGATGGAATCGACTTTTAGAGATTAAAAGTTTATAATTGTGGATTTCAGCTATTTTTTTGATGTCGTTTCAGTTTTTTTGGAGAAAATTCACTTTTTTTTCAATGGAATAAGTAAAGCTCCAGTTTGACTCAAAAAAATGGACCTTTAAAGAAAAATTTTTTTCCATTTTTTTAATAGCTTTCTGTTGAATATGGTCTATTCATTATATAGGGATTATTTAGAAACTCTATTTTGAAAGTGTTCTTTTTTTAAGCTCTTATATCTCTTAAAAAAAGCTCTCGAAAAATTAAAGCAAGAATTTTAAAATAGATAAAATAATGGAAATGACATTTGGCTCGATCAATCCACTAGAAAATTTTGAAAAAGTCTAAAAAAAACCCTTTTTTCAACATAATTTTCGAAATCACGACCAACTTTCTTCTCATTTTGAATCCATCATGTCACTTTTGAAAATCGCCTGGTGTCTTTAATCAAAGGCAGCTGCGCGGTAAGACGCCGGTCTGGATTGGGTCGTAAATACCGGGAGATGAGCCGAGTTACGTGTCCCTTCAGATGTTCGCCGCCGCGCCTCAGAAGATGTCGTTGGGCCCGACAGAAAATGAATGATTTTAGGCCTTTCACGTCGACATTTACGAGCAGCCCCGGGCTTTACAATCTCAGATTTACCGCCTCCGACCGGCCCGTTTCTGTTGTTTACGACGTCGTGTCGGCACAAGTTAGGCCCGCTGTAAATCTGCACCGTTTAGGGCTTCCGGTGACGTTCTCGGTTGTTTACCGGTTGCCAGGATCTTGTTAGATCGATAATTTCTCCCTGTAGGTTTTTTTTTTTGTAGAAAAAACAAGGAAAAGTGGCAATTTTTATTTTCAAACGTTTTTCATAGGGGTCTGATACATTATTCAAAAGCTAAACTGAACTTTAGAATTTTTCAAAGAAATCTTAAAAATTTTTGAGGACCCAACGACACCCTGGAAACACAAAAATTTAATTTTGCAAAAAGCTTACGCAAGCCGAATTCCCAAGCCGTCTCCGATCCAAGTACTACCGGCTCTCAAAGTTGCTTAACTTGCCAGATCGGACGGGATGCACCCAGTTTCGTGGACTATATCGCAGCGAGTGGCGCGACATAGCAGCGACATATCTCGCTGCCATCTCGCTCAGCTCTAGCAAACTCCCGGCGCGATATCGGCGCGAGGTCGCGGATTATCGATTGGTCACTATTTACGTGCCATCAAAATTTTACTTGAATTGTTTAATTTTTCGTGTGTTATATTCTCTCTGATTTTTTTTATGTCTATTTTTTTCACTTAATATTTCTAAAATGTTAATTTTACAACTAATGTAACGCTCATACAGTACCGTCAGAAGAGGAAAAATATTTTTCGCTCACAACTTCCTCGTATAGAGCTCAATCTTTCTGAAACTTTTTCAGCTGTGTTTCTAAGTTTTCACCACGGTGTTACAATCAACAGTCATCATATTTCCAGAGAGTTTCAAAAGGGTGAAATCCCATTAAAGAAAGTTGTGATTTAAAAAAAGCGTTTTTGTATATATTTTGACGGCACTGCACACCTTTCTTGAATTTGAAAGTCCTTTTTTCGCATTTTTTTTTCATGTTTTAACCAATAATTTCAGGTTATTAGTACTTCAAAAACATCTAACATTTTTTTTTCGATCAATAAAAGTCAAGAAAGATCCGTGGGAGATGGCACCGAAACTTTGCTTTTGGATACAATCAATAAGATTCTTGGTAAACTATTTTTGAAACAGTATATCCATTTTTGCTTGAAGATATGATTTGCACTTTGGCGTCGATGGGTAAGGAAAAGAAGAAATGAGGCATGATTTCGAGAAAGCACGAACTGCTGTCTTGATACAGTCGCTCCTGTGAGTTATTCTCTTATTCAAGGTTGGACTTTTTTCAGTATTTCTCTTTTTTACCGGTTTTATCATTTAGAAAAGTTCTTGACGCAGCAAATGAAGGATATGCCGAAAACTATCAAGTCAAAGCTTACAGTAACATTTTTAAGGGAACTTAGGGTCAATCTGATTGTTTAGCTTAATTTTCTTTTTCAAAACTTCTTTCATTTTCATTTCGAGCCTCCCTCCTTTATTTTTTTTTTCTAATTTGAACTTTTAAAGATCATCTACGAGCTTACAATCGGTTTACTTTTCTGTTTTTATTGAAACTACTCTTTTCCTAGTCACATTTTTCCCTATGAAAAAAATAAACGATACACATGTTTTTTTCCTCATATTGTCCTTTTTTTATTCTTACTTGAAGCTTCACTCTTTCGCCTCAATTCAATCTTCTTCAGATTTGTACATACTTTCAGTTTACTTCGAATTCGAAAATGTATCATCAATTATTTGGAAATTTCTTTAATGCTCTCAAGTTTTTCATTTAAATATATTGTTTATATTAAATAAAAAGTAAAAGAAGGTTGATAAAGACCGATATGTTATCATGTACAACCCAATAAAAGTATGAAGCATAGAAAGCAAATCAAGAAAAGCCCAATCGAGCTAAAAAAATTTTTTTTGAAAGAGCGACATAGCAGCGAGATGTGAGCGACCTTGCGCCGAGAGGGGAGGGATATAGCTCGCGGCTCCCCCGCGATATAGCGTTTCTCTCGCTGCGACCTCGTCCGTAAAACTGGGTGTGGCGTGTTTTCAACGTGATATGGTCGTAAGCGACCGCCTAGGACAGTTTTGGAGCTATGATTGGTTTCTAACTAGGGAGCGTTTTTCACCCCCTGTTTGAAATTTTGATGAAACTTCGCTGAAGTGTGCTGTTAGAACTTCTGATTCCAGAACAAGAAAAAAAAAATTTTCGCAATGGATCTCGTTTTCTAGACACTTCAAAATCTTTTGAAATAGCCCTTTTTGACAAAATTTGTGAATTTTGCGGACTTTGAAGCTCTATCACTCGAAAACAAGATCTTTTGCGAGACATTTCCTTTATGTTCTGCAATCAGGAGGTCCTAAAATACACTTCAGCAAAGTTTCATCAAAAGTTCAAGAGGGGGGGGAGAATCCTCAGGACTATGCTAAAGCCGGAAAAAACAGCTCTGGCTGGAATTTCACGATTTCTGATCAAATTCACGATGAAAATCGAAACTTTCTTCTAAAATTCAGCGGGTCAGGTCTTGCAAAACCCTCAGGACTCCCCCAAAATCCAGAAAAGAAGCTTTGACCCTTGTTATTCAAGCTCTAGGCCAAGATTTCACGATTTTTGGCCAAAATCACGGTAAAATTCGAAACTGCCCAACTCAGTTTTTCCGGCTCAAGGTCTGGAAAAATACTCGAGATCAAGAAAATAGAAGCTCTTATCATTCTAATAAACAGTCCAGGCGAAATTTCACTACTTCTGTTCAAATTTATGGTGAATTTCGAAGCTCCCCCTCCCTTCCCAACTCAGTTTTTTTCCGGCATCGGAAGATACTCAGGATTGCGCCAAAACACGCAATAAATCGGGCCAGCGAGGATGGACGATGAGCGGCGACATCAAAACGCAGACGGTGATTAACGGCGTCACATCGAGAGAAGAAGGGGGGAGAGCATTGTCAAAATGTCACATGAAAGCTCCCATGACAAATGACAAGGAATCTCGGGAGGAATTTCCTCGCGAGAGTTGCGTCCGGAGAAGATCTCCAGTCTGGGTAATAAATGTGCCGACTGCCGTGACGGATCGTCCCTTTTTTGTTTCTTTTCCCCAGGCTAAATCTACGCATTCCGTCTTGCAAGACGGATGATCATCGCCATTTTCCCCCTTTTTGTTGCCCAAAATTGCTTCGGCTGAATTTTGGAATCGGTTCGGAGATTGATCTTCTCCCGTTTCTATGGGAAATCAGGAGACGTGTTGAAAAAATGATTAGGGTCAGGATTTTCTACAGAACGGGGGGATTTCGGGTCATATTTGAGGATTAAGCTTGAGATTGAACAAATTTGATCTCTGTGTCATTTTATTCACATAAATACATAGGCAAAGTCGGAAAGGGTGGAAAAGGCTCCATTGAAAAAAAGGAACAAAGGCTCCATTTTTGCTGCCTTTTTGGGCCCTTTTCTCAGCCCTTATGCACCCTTTTTGCAGCCTCTCCCATTTTCCACCATTTCTCGAAATCTCTACAATTCTAGAAAAAATGGAAGGCTTTATAAAGCAGCCCTTTTTGTCGCCTTTTTGCGGCCTTTCTGCGGTCTTTTTGCTGCCTTTTTTGAGTCTTTCCCCTTCTGCAGCCATTATTCATCGTTCCGACTTTGCCCCAGTAGAATGAATGCAGAATTTTCCAGGCCTGAAATTTGAAAAAAAAAACTGCAATTTCGACAAACCTTTTCCAAGAAAGGAACCAAACTAAAACAGAAAAATTATGAGAAAGTTAATTTTTTTAAATTCCGTAAGTCAAGACCATGTTCAAACGAAACTTGAGAGATTTCTAATTTCAACCAGGAAGGAACTTTGAACTTTGAAGCGTTCCGAATCGCTTCCAAAACCCCTTAAAATTTTCCAAAATGTCTCGAGTTTTAAAAGTGGAACCTCGTTAAGTTTCATGGCTTTGTTTGTAAGGTGTTTCTTCCCAAGAACAACACCCAGGAGTCAAACTTCAGACGTTTTAAAATTCCTCGGAAGTTCGATATTTGAAAAAAAATTGAAAGGCCCTATAGGGACCGCTTTAGTGGCTTGAGAGCCCGACCCTGAGCCCCTAGAAGGAACTTCCTTAAATTAACCTCTATAGGGAGCACTTTCTCAGTCCTTGTAGTGAATGTTCTTTCACGTAGACCCTATAGGGACCCCTCTGACGTTCTTGAGAGAATTTTCCGAGCTAAAATCGGACCATGTACCCCTTGTGAATTTCGCCTTACCCCTAGTCCCTATAGGGACCACTCTGACGTTCCTAAGTGAATTTTTAAACCGAAAATCGGACCAGGAACCCCTTCTGAATGTCACCTTTATCCTAGCCCCTTTAGGGACCACTCTGACGTTCCCTGACTGAATTTTTAAACCAAAAATTGGATCAGGGACCCCTTACGAATGTCGCCTTTCCCATAGACCCTATGGGGACCCCTCTGAGGTTCCTAAGCGAAAGCGAAACCCGAACCAAGGACCCCTTCTACATGTCGCCTTTCCCCTAGTCCCTATAGGGACCACTCTGACGTTCCTAAGTGGACTTTTAGACCGAAAATTGGACCAAGGACCCCTTATGAAAGTCGCATTTCCCCTAGACCCTATAGGGACCCCTCTGACGTTCCTAAGTGGATTTTTAGACCGAAAATTGGATCAGAGACCTCTTGTGAATGTCGCCTTTCCCCTATTCCCTACAGGGACCACTCTGAAGTTCCTAAGTGGATTTTTAGGCCGAAGATCGGACTTAGGAACCTCTTATAAATTTCGACTTTCCCCTAATCCCTCCAGGGACCACTCTGACGTTCCTGAGCGAGACCGAAACCCGAACCAAGGACCCCTTTTTGAATGTCGCCTTCAGCACGCCAATCAAACAATCGCATTTCCAAGAGTGATTCCGACGGAAAAGAAGAGGCGATTTTCGCCATTTACTCGAAATGATGAGACGAGGCGGATGTTTTATGTTTATGTGGATGGGCCCCGATGGCAGTTGTCGGAAGCCGTTAAGGCTGACACGCGCAACGACGTCGTCAACGCTTCTTCTTCTTCCCCCGGCGTCGTCGTCGAATGACCGTCGTTCAAAAGTGTCGACAAATGAGCTTCCCTGAAACGTTTATTAGCTCGAGGTGGTTGCAGACAATGCGCTTGTTGCTTTGAGTCAAGTCTGTTCGGATTTTGAATTAAAAGCTCCGCCCCTAATGACGCGATAAACCAATCAGAAATAAAAATATTTAGAGAGCGTTTCCGAAAGACGTCATTGTAATTGAAATTCGAAATCCGGTGAGAATACAGTAGCAAAAGGAAGATCGAAGCAACAACAACGAATAATAAAAACGAATGTAAAACACTAAAAAATAGTTTCTGTGAAACGTATATTGTCGGCGGTTTGAAACATCGAATTTCTGATTTTTCGGATTAATATTGAAAATGAATGTTGAAATCACCGATTTTCATCGCGATTTGTGATAAAAACAGTACAAGAAGCCTTACTTTTAAAAGTTTCGAGGTTAAGAAAGCTAAAAAAAAATCGCAGTTTTGAATTTACGAGCATTTTAGAGCATGTACGCTCCACGGAGAAAAATGTTCAAATTTTTTTGAAGTTTTTTTCATATAACTTTTCTTCCTTTCCAGTTCTAGTTTATTCTAGTTTACGTCTTTTTTTTCGATTAAAAATTTATTATATCTTCATTTCCGTTCTCGCCAGAAGAGAATAGTTCTTTTTTTCAAATTGAAAAGAAACATTTATTAATTTCCTTTTCTTGAGTCACGATTGAAAACGAAAAACCGAGGATTTTCCTGGGAAGTTTTAATAAAATTTCAGAATCGATAAAAAAACGATTAAAAAAGATTCTGTTTGATAGTTTTTCGTTTAAGCTTTGTTAAATTTTTTCGTGTTTGTGTTTTTTTTTTCTCGCAAGTAATAAATTCAGAGAACGGTCGGGATAAAGTCAAAGATGCTCTCAAAGTTTTCGAAGCCTTCAAATACATGGAGAAAAAAGGTTCGTATTATTTCCATTCGTTTTTTTCCAGCTTTTTTTATTAAACGATCGCTGTGTAAAAAAATAGTGTTTGTGTTTCATGTAACTATATGAATTCCTCATAGAAAGTCCAATTTTCAATTTTAAAACTCAAAAAAAAACCTAAAAATTCTACATTTTCCTATCCAAGCAAAGATGGATGATCCCCTTGTTCCAAACTTAAATCGACGAATTTCCAAGCCTCCTCTTCTTCCAGCCCAAAGACTTATGGTCTATTTGGCGATTGTTATGAGCCCGAGGCTGCCCATAAAACATCTTCTCCTTCGGCCTCAAATCGCTCATTCGCCACTAATTTATGGGCGCGCGCCTAACGCGTTTTTGTATTTATGACCCTTCAGGGCCTACTCGATTTCAGCCACTCTTTCTTTTTTTCCCTTGTCCTCCGTTTGAAGAAGCGTCTTCCAAACAACCATCAAATGGCCGTATAAACACCGTTTTTATTGCCCATTTAATGAGGCTGGCTGTGTATCCGGCGGCTTGATTTTGATGATATTGGCTGCGCATCAACTCGAATTCCGAGAATGATTGATTGTGGCTTTGTTATAATTTTGAAAGAGCCTAGTGTAAAGAATTTTTTGAGTTAACTCCGTATCTTTTTTACCTTTTTATTTGGCTGCGCATCAACTTAAAGTGCAAGGAAAGTTGGCTGATGAAAAAAGCTTTCTTTATAATTTTTGAAAAACCTTGATAAAAAAGTTTCATTTTATTTTTACGGGAGTTGGCTCCGTATATTTTGACTCCTGATTTGGCTGCGCATCAACTCAAATGACAAGGATAGTTGGTTGAGACCTTTTTTTAATAATTTGACAGACTGATTTTTAAAAAAATTTGATTTTTTGCGAAATCCCTTGAAAGCGTTAGAAATTTAAATATGCGCGAAAAATTTCATTTCTCAAGGACCATTTTTTAAAATTTTCTTCTTTAAAAGGTTGCATTAGAGTTGATGCGCAGCCAAATAAAAACTCTGATCAAAACTTCAAATCCTACAGTATACCAATATTGTTTGATTTTCAAGATTCTGAGGCAAGAATATGCTTCTCAAGCCACATTTTATCGACAAATTCGGCTAATTCTACAGTATACCAATATTCTGTAGCTTTTAAGCTTCTCAGGCTAGAAAAATTGAGATTTTTCAACTCTATCAAAATATCTGATTTAACGAAAACCTTAACTCCTACAGTAACCTGACGGTTTGAGAGCTTCCGGTCTTTGTCAAATGCCAAAAAAAAAAGGTTTTTGTGTGGTATTTGCTCAGTCTTCTCCTCACAATCGTAACCTTTCCTCCGCCTTTTTTGTTTGGTTCTCAGCGGCGTCCTGCCGTTTTCACACCTTTGTGACGCAAAGAACCTTTACGAGTGGGCTAAGGACGTGTACCTAAAAGTTTACACCCGATGACAAATTTCTTCTTCTTTTTTTGCCGTCCCTTTCATCTTCCCTTTGACATTTGAGCTCACTGAGTAATTTGAGATTTTTGCAAGTTGTCAATGACATTTGACACAAGGAAAGTCGAGAAGCTGCAGATATTCAATCACTTTTTTTTGTAGGTGAAAACGAACGCTTTTGGAGAAATCGGATAGGATTTTTTTTGCGGCCGAGTATCGAGTTTAGCTATTTGGCTGCGCATCGACTGACTTTTTCGAGTTAACTATTTGGCTGCGCAGCGACTGACTTTTAGCGATTTTTGTAGATTTTTTGAAAGTACTTCCTGTAGTCTAGAACGGCCAGAAACGATATCTAAATCGACTCTTCGCCTTAAGACCCGTTTTGAAACAAGTCTATGCGCCTTTAAACTAATGTCATCGACTGATTTTTAGTGATTTCTTGTAAATTTTTCAGAAGTACTTCCTGTAGTCTAGAACGGTCTGAAATTATACTGTAAACCACTCTTCGCCTTAAGACCCGTTTTGGAACGAGTCTATGCGCCTTTAAACTACTGTCGTCGATTGACTTTTAACAATTCTTGTAAATTTTTCAGAAATACTTTCTGGAATCTAGAACGGCCAGAAATGATTCTAAAATCGACTCTCTACCTCAAGACCCGTTTTGAAAAAAGCCCATGCGCCTTTAAACTACGGTCGTTTTTTCTTTAAATTTAAGTTTTTGTTGCAAATCTTGACCTTATTTAGAATTCTTAGATTTTTTAAAAAGTTTCACGACCCCTCCATCTTGTTACAAAACCATCTTTGCAAGAAAAAAAAACTGAACGGTAACCCAAAACTTTTGGGTCGGAAGGAAAGAAACGGTTGAACCGAAACGCGACACCGACGGACCCGGCGTCGGGTTTCAGCATATTGTTCAGCAGCTCCTGGTTGGCCAGGTGTTTCTGTTGTTCCTAGGAAAAGTAAGCTTGGAGGAATGTTGTCTCCATGGATAATGGAGGAGTAAAATAAAATTATTTTGAGCTTTTTGATCGAAAAAAAATTGAGATGGTTTCGAAAAAAGTTGTTAAATATGGATTATGCTATGGGAAAGCCTGATGAAATCCATTTTTTTTTCTTGGAAAAGTAAGCTTGAAGGAACGTGTGCTCCATGGATAATGGAGGAGAGAAAAAAGGGATTATTTTGCGGGTTTTTTGGATCGGAAATTTGATTTTTCTATAGAAAAGCCTGAGGATATTCTTTTTTTATTCTTGGAAAAGCAAGATTGAAGGAATGTGTGCTCCAGGGATAACGCAGAAATAAAGGAATACTGTAATTTTCGGGCTTTTTGGAAAATTCTATGGAAATTTGAGAGAATGATTTTTTTTTTTCCTCGGTAATGTGGAAGAGACTGATGGAAAATGGGCTCAAAATATTAATTTCTCATCCTAGAAGTTTTGCTCGTGGAAAGTGTGCTCCATGGATAACTAAAAACCGAAGAGATCATTTTTGAGTTTCCGGATAGGTTTTAAGAAAAAAAGTCGAGGAAGTCGGACTGTTAGAAGGTTTTTAAGGTTTTTAACCGTGGAAAAAGTCAACTTTGAGGAATGTGTGCTCCATGGATAATGCTTGAAAGCTTAAGATTTCCTTCTTCCGAAAAAATTTAGGAAATTTGAGTCTTTCATTCTGTTTTTTTAAATAATTCTGGTCTTTAAAAAAATATTTTTACGATCCTAATTGCCGCAAAACTCTTCTCACCACGGATATACAATTTTTGAGCCTTCTACGAAGAAAATTGGCCGAAATTAGCGTTTCTACCACTGCTCGGTAAACCCTTTTGCCACACATAATTGCGTGCAACTTTGTCCGGCGACCTTCCGTCACCGAATAAAAGAGTGGCGCGAGTAACACCTAGCGTCCGGTTGCGCAATCCCTCCGTCGATTATGACGCAACGGCGCAAGGGAAGCGGATGGAGGACACCCGTCTCCTTACCGGAAGACACCCGCAGCTCCAATTACCGTCGATCCACATGTTTTTTCGGCGGTTGTTTGCATTGGGGCGAGCATTGCCAACATTAATTGGCCGTTTTGTTGGACCATTAGAAAATTGGTGGTATTCTTGGACAATAACACTGAAATAGAGAAAATGGGATTTTTTGTTGTTTTGACAAGAAAAGGGACTGAAATTAAAAAGTTAAACTAAAGAATTAATCAAAATTATTTTATCCATCTTTTTTTGTGAAAAGTATGTGATTATGGGGTAATTAAAAAAATTCTAATCGAAAATACTTTCATATAGGTAGAGATACAGTAATATTAGTTTAATTGGAATCGATTTTTTTTTTTTGGCTGATTTGACCAAATTGAAAAAAAAAATTTCGATTCGTTTTAAGCTTGAAATTCTAGATAGCCTGCTTGTAACCGTGAAGCTTGCTCGAAAAATTTGAGAAATTCCATGAAAGGATTTTTTTGAAAAAAACATAAATTTACATAAGCCCTGATTTTTTTCCTATCACTTCTCCAAAATTGGAATTTTTTTGCGAGCTTCTGTGAAGAGCTTCAATTTTCAACATTTTTTTGTAGTTATACCAAAAAAACCCCCCACCTCAAGCATTATTTAAGACCTATATATGTCTCATTAGTGCCGCGAAACCATTATTCTTCGTCTCATCTCAAATTAGCCGAGCTAAACCCTCCAATTTCCGGCCTTTTTTTTTCTTGGCTCCTGCTGAATTTCTTTTCCGATTTATTGATCGCCAGCCGCGATTTGACTGATGGCTGTCGGCATTTTTATTAATGTGAGAAAAGTGGCAATTTTCGGCGACACACCTACGTATTCATTAGAGGGACGGAACGTCTTGGGAAAGTGCTCCGCAATAAATTCGTCGCCCTCCAATTATTTATGGCCATTTTTTCCCCTTTTCAAATCAAATTTATGGGCCGGTTTTGGAACGTGGGAAGGTTTTCAAAAGGTTCGAATGATTCATTTGCTTTGTTAGAAAGAAATATGTGGTCGTGAGATTAAATATGCACTTTCCTGACGATTTTGAAGAAAATAGGCAATTTCTCACTATCAACCTTGCTTAGAAGCCAAAGGATAACTCCAAAACTGTCCAAGGCGGTCGCTTACGACCACATCACGTTGAAAACACGCCATCCCGTTCGATCTGGCAAGTTAAGCAACGTTGAGAGCCGGTAGTACTTGGATCGGAGACGGCTTGGGAATTCGGCTTGCCGTAAGCTTTCTTTTTTGCGAAAGTGAAATATTTTATCCACAATTTGGATGGTTTCTTTAAAAACTTCATTTTAGCTCTCGTTTAATTTATCAGACCTTGTCAGCCATTGTTTAAGGAATTTTGCGAAATTCGTAAAAATCTTCAAAATGATTTTTTAAACTATGGCTCTCCATATTTTTCCGGTTTTTACTAGCTTAAAACCTTCTTCTTTCTTAGATCAGATCCTTATTTCAAACGAAAATTGGAAGTTGATGACCTCCAGGAAAGTTATCATTGCTCATTTTAAGTAAAAATCTGTAAGCTCAACTGATTTCCGTGAAAAGATAGCTTCTAGAAAGTTTATTTTTTCTCTTTTTTTTTGTAAATTTTTTTTCTTCAAAAATAGAAATTTAGGGCCCCCAGAACTCTTTTTCCGATTTTTCAAAACTATTCCCTCTATCAAAAATAAGTTGATGGCCTGCAGTATGTTTAGGTAATTTTATTTCCTAAGGATATCCTCCGAACTCCTCTTTTTTTCGCTATATTTGAACCTTCATCTCCCAAAAATGGAAGTTGATGACCCAGCGACACCTTAGAAATACATGGTGTGCTCATTGCTGACATCACAAGGACTCGTTGGAGCGACGTACGCGTCGAAGAAGACGAGGCACAGTGACAGGCGTGTGATGGATTACAAGTGTCAGATAAACGATGGGTTCTGTCGCTCGGCGTCCCGTTTGAACTGCCCGCCAAGCCGGTGTGTGTGTGCCCACGTCTTCTTCGTCTTCTTCTTCAACCTGTCAATCAGATGAGCCCGACGACGTTCCGACGTTCAGGCGACTACAGTAATTAAGGCTCTCAAGGGTGACTGACGTGGGAAACTTTTTCCGAAGTCGTGTTTCTGACCGGTAGTTGGAAGGATTGCCGACGTTTTTGAAGATGCTTGGAAGGTTTTTGGATAGGTTTAAGGAAAGGGATTGGTTTGAAGAACTTTAGATGGGTTTAAAGTTAGGAATCGGGTTGAAGAGCTAATTTCATTTTCTCCTGACAAAAAGTTTCGCGATCATCGGTCGAGCTCATGAGAGTTTATCTATGAAATCGTAGGATGGAAGTTTTGGCTCGATTTATTGAAAAAATTTTATTTTTAGTTAGCGTTATATGAATAAAACATATAAACAGAGGATTAAAAGATCAAGCTTGTCTTTTTAATTTTAAAGTCTGAACAAAAACTGAGATACCCTAAAGGGACCACTTGAGCTTAGGGGCCTAGGAACCGAACCCTGGACCGCTAGAAGGACCACTTAAACTCCCATATGGGACTCTTTTTTGACCCCTAACCCCTACAGGGATCACTATGGAGTATACATCTCAGTTTCAAGTGGTTTTAGAAGTTCTCTGACCTTTCCCAGGCTTTGGAACAAGCCTTTGAACTTTTGAAAGGTCCTTATTTATTTTATTCATAAAGTTATAAGGTTTCAGGCCATAGACGGTAGCATTCCACCAAATGGCCTTTATTTTCAAATGAACTCATTGAAAAAAAGACAAACAACCCTCTTGAAATGGAAATATGTACTTAATTGTGGACGGCATTGCCATCCGTCAATCGTCACAAAACTCATTAGAGCCATAACCGGCTGTCAAGCGACGTCACACGCGAAATCAGCGACGTCGGATCGCTTTGTGCTGCGGACGAGGGTCACGTCCGAAACAGACCCCCTAACTTGACCACTTGGCGGTCTCTTTGGCCTGTCAGTCCATTGTGTGGAGACACCTGTCAGCTTGCCCAAGAAGAGGATGCGGTAGTTTTGCGAGTCCAGGGTTTTGGGATTTTCGGGTTTGCGAGTCTCGTATTTTTTGGGGGTTTTGGGGTTTTTGGGCTTCAGTTTTGTGAGTATAGTGGTTTTGTGAGTTTGAGACTTTGCGACTACGAATTTTAGAGTTCGGTTAGCTTGACTCAGAGATTTTCTTCAGAATGGAGTGTATTGGAAGAAAGAGATGTCTTCAGAAGTAATCGGGAAAAAAGATCTGAAGTAGCTTTTTAAGTCTAAAAACTGTGGACTAGAGTTGCAAAGCGTGTTTTTTAAAAAAAGCGAGTCCAGAGCTTGGTTTTCGGAAGTTTGAGATCTGCGAAATTCTGAAAATCTTTATATATTTGAGATTGGAAGCTTAATATTCTCGGCCGGTATCTACTACACTGAACAGAATCAGAAGAGCAATTTTAGAAAATTCTCATTTTTCGAGTACCTCTACTAAAAATTCAGAATTGCATGCAAACCTCCATAATATCTGGAAATCTCCACAAAATAAATTCGCACTGGAACCGAAGGTCGACAACGGTTCTTTCCCAAGACATCAAGGGCCTGTGTCTGGGATTTGACGGATCGCCGTCAATTTGTAATTAATAAAGGACGCAGCGTCGTCGTTTTGTGTTGTTGTGCTGAGCGTTTGGGCGTGTTGTATGTGCTGAAATCAATCAGCCGGCGGCTCGTCGCTTTTACCGTTGTCCAACCGGACAGACAGCGACACGCGCGTCCGGCCTCGACGATTAATTGCCGCCTCGCAGCCTCGTCGTCCCTTCTTCGCAACTTGAGCACCGGCTCCAGCGATTTATGGCTCATCCCCCCGTCCGACGTTCATGTTGTCCAGAACGGCTGCCTCGGGTTTTATCGCTTTCGAGGTGTTTGGGTAGCCATCAGTACTGGAAGCTGCCTGAACGTCTGCCTCGGTTTATCGCTTTCGAGGAATTTTGGGTAGCCATCAGTACTGGAAGCTGCCTGAACGTCTGCCTCGGTTTATCGCTTTCGAGGAATTTTGGGTAGTCATCAGTACTAGAAGTCACCAGAACGGCTGCTTCGGTTTATCGTTACGGATGGTTGAGGAGTTTTGGGTGCTTGAGAATAAGGTACTCAAAACATCTTTTTGAAAGGCAGGGTATGTTTTTGGTTATCAGGAGCTTTTGCGGTTCATAATGTCCAGAACTTCTTCTTTAGTTTATCGCTTTCGGATGGATGATAATTTTGGGTAGTCGTCAGTACAAGAAGTCTTCTTTAAGAACGTGGAGTCATTCATTTCGAAGAACATGTTGTCAGGGGCTTTCGAGTTCATCCTTTTGGGTTAATGTTGTTCGGAAGGTCCGCTTCGATTAATCGCTTTTGGATAATCGTGAAGTTTGGATTGTCATCAGTACAACAAGTCTTCTTTGAGAACGTGGAGTCATTCCTCTGGAGGACCATTTTATGAGGACCTTTTGGTTTTCATCTTCTGGATAGTCTTTTTTAAAAATCGAAACTTTAGGGTATTTATATTTTGTAGCTCTTTATCGATTGCATCAGTTTATCGGTGTCGGATAGTCGTAGAGCTTGAGTCCTAACAGAATCCTTCTTCGTGAAGTTGCAACTTTAGTGAGTCCTTTCCTCGTAAATTAACGAGCGATTTATGGCTCAATCACGCCGGGAAGCTCTCAGTAGCATCTGCTTTAGTTTACTGCGTTAGGTGGAATTTTTAAATAGGATAGGTTGGAGATACTTATAAATTCCGAGAGGGAAGGGATTTTTTGAATTTTCAGGCCGTCATCCTGGAGAAATCCAAAAGACCTTCATAAACACCTCAAATAGGACTATTTATGAACGGAAACAGAACCAGGTGAAAAAGTGTCAAGTGCCTCGTCGGGCGGCGGACTTTCTTGGCCCCTTCCTCTTACCATTGAGCACAAATATACACCTTTTGTTTATGTAGTCTGCAACTTTGGGTACAAACACTTTGGTCGGAAACTTTAGAAGGGGCTGGAGATGACCCACTTGGCGGAGGGCCGGATTACCTCCTTTTGGGCTTTCGAGAGGATTTAAAGGTGTTTGCTCGGCGGCACACCTGTCCCGTTCGGCTTTATTTACAGTAGCCGTGTAATTTGTGCCTTTGATTATACTCTCCTCGGTTGGGTTGGCGCAAGTCGGCGGATTATGCACGACGAGGGTCATAGTTGAAGGAGATTTCGGGCTCGTTTGGATAGTATTGATGAGTAGGAATGGGTGAAAATATATATTGAGGTTTGAAGTCGTTTCTAGTGCTCACAATAATTGCATTTGTGAAGCTTTGAAGTTTTTTCAAAAATCGACTTTTCAAGCTTTGAGCAGTAGTTTTTGATGAAATGAGAACAGGAAGAGTTAGGTTGATTTTTTAAAAATTTGAAGACGCCACCCGAAAATTTTCCATTGAAGAATAGTTTGTAAATCTGAATAGATTCCGGAAATCGGTTTTTTGCGAATTTTTTCAATGAAGAAGGTTGAGCGGATTCGGAATGATAAAAATTGAAATGAAATATTGAAAATAGAGGTTTTGAGCTATTTTTGGCACCTAAACAAAATTGATTGAAAATCATCAATAATCAATAATATAATAACATAACCGCTAATATACAAACTTTGTATGGTTCGATTTTAGAAGGTTATAACATTTTCAATAAAAAGTAGCTAATAAATGAATGGGAATCGGAAATAACTGAACAGAACCGAACTCTGGAAATGATCTTGTTTTCTGAAAATCAAATGGAAACCGGTACATTTCCTCCTAAATCACTTTCCCTCGTTCCCAGATAGGAATCTCGTCTGCCTCCTCATTATTAATGATCTCCGTCTTCGGCACACGCTTTTTGTGACTCAAGAAAAAGTAAATCGAAGGGGGGAAGAATTCGGATTGAATCGAGTATACTCGTGTAGTGGAAGTGAAGTGGGATGGAGTGGTCAGAAGAGGGCCCTCGAACGAGGCGTCCGATGGGTTCTCGCGGGTGTTCGAGTACCTCCGTTTCCTAGTTCACTTCATCTAATGTGTCATTGGATCTGGTGTTGTACGACACTCCGCCGTGAACGCTTGAGATGAGCTGGCAGGTGTCATTTTTTGCTTGGAGGCGTCTTTGAAACATTTGAAAAAGTGATTTTTTACGATGTTCTTCTGAAATGCCTAGGAAAAAGTGTCAGTTTTGGGTTTCATACGAGGTTCACAAAATCGTGAAAGTTTGATTTATGAACTGTTTATTTGTACGAGATTCCGGTAGAACGCTTGAGATGAGCTGGCAGGTGTCACCTTTTTTGCTTGGAGGCGTCTTGGAAACATTTGAAAAAAGGGACTTTTTTTTACGATGTTCTCCTGAAATGCTCAGGAAGAAGCGTCATTTTGAGTATCATACAAGATTCACAAAATTTTTAGAAAAATCTATTTTTTTAACCGTTTATTTGTACGAAACTCCGGTAGAACGCTTGAGATGAATTGGGAGGTGTCATTTTCCGTGAAGAGACATATTTTGAGATCTAAAAAAATATTTCTCTCGAACTTAATAATTATGGTTAAAATTAGAACGAGAGTTTATCAAAAAAATTAATATGTAGAGCTAATTTTATTTAAATTGTACCAAATTGACGCTAAAAAAAGGTGAAAAAAACATCAAAAAAATCGTAAAAATCTCATTTTTTTGAAGCGTTTATTTGTACGAAACTCCGTGAGAACGCTCAAAAAGTGTTAATCATGAAAAAAATGGATGAAAAATGTTTTTTTAAGAAATTTATAAGGCCATATGTATCAAAAATATAGATAGACAAACTTTCTTTTACCACAGATAAAAAAATTTTTTTACGTTTTTTTCGAAAAAAATGTATTACTACATCTAAAATCAACGTTTGAGCTTCTAACCAATCTTGAGACTCAAAAAAGTCTTTTTTTTTTGAATACATAGCTCTAGAAGAAAAGTCAGGTGATTATGACCATGAACATAAATAGTTACTTCCCTCTAGGATTATTAAAGAACATATTCTTTCAAGAGAATGTGGAGCTTCAAAGTCATCGAAGTCTCGAAAATTCACCTAACGCTTGGCAGATTTCTTTAAAATTTTCCGCTTTTGTAGAGAAAAAAGGCAAGAAATGATGATCAAGCCCAACTTCTACAATTGCATTTTGAACATCCACAATCTGACCTCTCGAAAATTCACCTGACACCAAACCGATCTCTTTGAGATTTTTCCGTCTTGCAGGAAAAAAAAGAAGGAAAGAAGTGATGATCGACACGACCATAAAGAATCGGACGGCGGTGCCGAGATTTTTGTTGGCAAGCGGCGATGATGGATCGCCCGAGGGGGGCAAGGCGCCGGTGAGTAAGACGGATGAGGGCCGCGGGCTCCTCGGCACTCAATCTGCCAAAACGACAAGGCCCCCTTTGGACCCATTTTTTGCCCGGTTCCTTCCGTCAACAGATAACGAACGTCGTGTCGTTTTGACGCGAACTCGTTTCCTTTCCGAGAGTCGTTTTAATTGAAAATTGGCCAGAATCGAGTTGATTGAAGTTGTAAGTGGTTAGGAGGCTGAGTATTTGAACTTTCCGACTATTTTTAGAAGTTCTTGAATTGGAAGACGAGGCGTCTAGGAAAGTCTCTGATGAATAAAAAAGTCAAAAAAAAAATTTTGTTGTTAATAAAGGAGCTATAGTCTTTCTGATCATGAAAAAATTATTTTTTCATGTAAATTTTTCAGAAAAGCTGCTGGACAAGGCAAAAGTGCAAGTTTTGAAAGCCTTAGGAAATTCGAAAGTTTTTTTGAAGAGCTTACGGCGTTAGAAATTCGTTCAAAAACATTTTTAGGCTTTGGTGAGATTTAAAAAAATAAAAAGGATGTGAAATTTGAATTTTCGGAGCACAAAACACTTCCTAGAACCTCTAGGACGCATAGTATAAGATTTAATGTGACAAGTTCAAAAAAGCGATATTTTGAGCCATTCTACGTGCGGCCAGGAACATCCGAAACTCCAGTCGAATCAATTTTTCATGAAAAAAATCACTCATTTTTCTATTTTTTTAGAAAAACTTGACCTTTGGAAAAAAAGATCTGACAAAAAAGATGACGAGGGCAACGTACAGAAACTTGTTTCGTGTTTTCCATTACAAAAACCATCAATCTTTTTTCTTTTCAAAAGATTGTTTTCGTTGCTTCCTGTCGCTCAAAACGTGTGATCAATCAATTTTGTGAAAACAAAAAATAAATCTTCCCTCCCTGTCTAGAGGATCAATAATCTCACGACATGGGGGGATCCGATCCAAGCATCCTTTGGACGATGATCGGAAGCGTAACCAGTTCGGCCACGCTTGTCAGCGAAAGCGAGAGGCTATCAGAGACCAAAGGGCTACCGTAAAAATTCTTCGGAACACACGTGTCTCTATTCTATTTTTACGGGGGATCTTAACGACAAAATCGGTGATAAAATAAAGTTTTTCGGCGGAAAAAAACATATGAATCACTTGGCAGGAAAAAAGAACAATAAAAAACTTGAAGTTCAAAGAAAACATGGTTTAAAAAATGAAAGATCTTTGGAATGATCGGGAACATTTTCTAGTTTGTTATGAAGAAAAATGAAATAGATCAGAAATAAAAATTCAAAAAAATTTTTTTAGATAAAAAAATGGAAAAATTCGTCATTGAGAGATCACTAAAATGATCAAAATTTGATCTATGACGTCACTGATAAGATTCAAATTTTTTTATCTCAAATAACCTTAGTTTTGATGAAAAGTTAGATGACCTCACTTCCTCGTTGAAATGGCGTCATGAATTATTGAAATCGGAAAAAAATTATGAGAGTTAAAAAAAGTTTTCTGATGACGTCTGGAAATTACAGAAATGAAATCATTAAATGTTTGAAATTGTCAAAAAAAAATTCTTGAAAAAAATGTATACCTGAATTTTTGATGACGTCACCCGCTGATCCATCGATGACGTCACGATTCACTCCAGATGACGTCACCTGCAAAATAAACATAAATTCCCATTTAAAATCTTCAAATTCAAACTTTCCTCAAAATTCCGGCTCAACGACGAGAAAACCCAAGAAGATTTCCGGAAAGTTTCGTTTTTTTTTTTAATTTCATTGTGAAGCCAACATTTTTTTAAGTTTAATAAATTTTATATAACAAGGAAAAAATAAGGCAAATCGGCGAGAAAAACATTTACAGTGTGGAGACTCGTAGAATAAATAAAAATTAAAAGGAAGCATCTAGAAAAAAAACTAAGAAAACAATGATAAATCTAGGAAGCGTTACAAATTACCAGCTGTTGCAGAGAAACCCGTATTAAGGGGGAAAAACAGAAAGAAAAGAAAAAAAAAGCGAGAAAATCCAAATAAAAGCAACGGGATTGGCACGTTGAAACACGTCAAGTCGCAGGAGGAAATAGAGATTTACGGTCCGTAAAAGACTCTAAAAGTACCGTAAATTGTCCTAAAAACTCTTCTTTGACACTCCAAGCCTATACAAGCTTGTTTAATACTCTAATACTATATTTAAATCAATTTACGGACCTTAAGAGTACCGTAAATGGTTCTAGAGTTTTTTCAACACTTCAAGTTAAAAAGCTTGTTTAAATTTACGGACCTTAAAAGTACCGTAAATCGTTCTAAAAACTCTTCTTTGACACTTAAAACGAACACAAGCTTGTGTAGGACTAGAAGAAATCAATTTACGGACCGTAAACCTCCAAAAACTCCCGAAAGATCTTCAAAACTTAAGGATGAGGCATGCTGGACATGAGCCTCTGGGTGTACATGGCCTGGAGGGCGTTCACATTGAAGGGCATCATCGGACCCATCGGAGGCATCATCGGCGGCATCGACGGCATCGTCGGCGCCGAAGACGTCGTCGGCTTGGCGTAGGGATTGAAGCGGTAGGCGGCCGAGGTGGTTGGTCTTGACGACGTCGGCGTCTTGGTCAGGTCAGGCGTCACCGAGTTGGCCGAGCTGGGCGGCGATGGCGTGTGGATCGACTGAAAAATCATTTATTTAGGAAATGATAAGGATTTTTTCTGAGAAAAAGGCTTGATTCAAAGCCGAGGTCCAGAGAAACTGACACTAATTTTCCAATTTTCTGAGCGTTCAAAAGCTCATACAGAACGTTCCAAATCCCTAGCCAAGCCAAAAAATCTTCAGAATCGGACGAAATCCTCACCTTGACATGGTTGGCCAGGTCCTCCTCGCTGCTGAACTTCTTGCCGCACATGCCGGTGGCCTCCATCCAGTTGCAGGAGTGCTTGGGGGCTGCAACGGGTGTGCTGGCGGAAGTCGTCGAGGCGGCGGGAGTCGATGTCGTGGCCGACGGGGCTGAGTTGGTGGTCGACGTCGAGGCGGCCGAGGCAGAAGCGGCGGCGGCGGCTGCAGAAGCGGCCAGAAGAGATTGGTACGACGGCATGGCTGATGCTCTGAAAGCGAAGAAGATATTATTAAGAAATATAATCGATCCTAATGGCTTCAAAATCTCAAGCCAAAAAACCCGGTCTTAGTTGAAAATTCAAAACGAACCCAGAAACGCTGGGCATCATGGCGGCGTAGGCGGAGAAGAGCGGATGCGAGGCGAAGGTCGCCATCATCTCCGGAGTGCAGCCAGAAGCGGCGGCTGCGGCGGCGGCAGCGGCGGCCGCAGACGTCGGCAAGCACTGCGTACAGCCGGGCGTCATGCAGGGCTGACGCATCATCGCGAACGGACACGGCATCCGTCCGAAAGGAGCACCGCCGGGCATCGGGAAGGCTCCGAAGGGCATCGGATAAGGCATCATCGACGGGTAGAACGGGAACGGCATTGCGGGCATGCCCATCGGGAAGGCCGGCTTCGGAAGTCCGGGGTAGGTCAGGGTCGGCTCCTTGGACGCCGGCGTGTTCCTGGGCGACTTGCTGGACTTGCTCGGGGCCGTTTCGGCCTTCTTCTCGTCTTTCCGGGCTTCTGGCGATTTTTTGGATGGCGTGTCAGGGAGACCGATCGTTTCGCAGGTCTTGGCGAGCATGGCGAGTGGGCTCTTTCCGGGTTCCATCTGAAAAATTGTCGAAATGGGTATGGTTTAAAAAAAAGATTGATAGGAATCGAAGGAAAGGTCAAGAATTTGAAAAAGGTACAGGTCTTCATAGATTTCTTTTCAGTCTAGGAAAAAAATAAATAATAAAGTTCGATGAAGGATAATTTCCTGTATTCAGAAAATGAAGGTGAAATTCCAGATTTTGAGAAAAGGAAATATTGGAAGAATCGAGTTCTTATTCCAAGATTTAGCCATACCGAAACAACATAAATCTCAATTTTAGGCTCTCAAAAATAATTTTTAAGTCTGACCTAGGACAAAAATTTCTTCTTGAAGCCGAAAAAAGCTCGGAACTTGGCAACATCCAACTAAAAGCAATAAAGAAGCTGGAGGAGCGGAAGAATGAGAAATATGGTTCTGGTCAGAAGGGGCTGTGCGAGCTGGAGCTGGAGGAGGTTGAGAAATGAGCCGAAGACAAATGGCGCCGCCCTCTCCTCTGTGTCATTATTCTTCGCCTTCCTGCCTCCGCCCACCCACAACGAGTGCCACTTCAAAACGGCTCGTAAATTAGAGAGGAGGCGACACTAATGAGCCGTGGTTTGTGTCGGATTACATGGGCGCGTTTTGGCACCCCTCTCCAAAATCCCCCTAATTACAGGCTTTGTGTGAAGTGGCGGAAGCCGTTCAGCGGTCCGATCAAGGCTAATTCCGAGTCCGACCGTTTGAGACAAAATACGGCTTAACGGTTCATTTAGCGCAAAAACGACAGGTGAGGCTTGGTTAGTGGCGGAAACCGTTTTAGGTCGGATCAGAGTCTGGTTTGATACTTTAATTATACTTTGGAATCGTTTTGCAAAAGTACTTGACTTGACTGACTGCGAAAACCGTTTCAGGTCGGATCAAGGTTTAAAAATTGGAAAACAAGTGTTCAAAAAGAAAAATCAGAAAATTGCCGATTGAATTTCAAGGATAAGATATAATATTAGGGAAGACTATCAACAAAGCGGAAGGAAAAACAAAAAATCATCAATTTTATCAGTGGAGCTCACTTTGTGCATTCAAAAGAGCCACAGAGATTTTTAAAGAAGAAATTATCAGTAGAGCTAACTTTCTGCATCCAAAAGAGCCAGATACATTTTTTTAAGAGAAAAATATCAGTAGAGCTAACTTTCTGCATCCAAAAGAGCCAGATATATTTTTCAAGAAGAAATTATCAATAGAGCTAAGTTTCTGCATTCAAAAGAGCCAGATATATTTTTTAAGAGAACATTATCAATGGAGCTGACTTACTGTTTAAAAATAGCTATTTGAATCCAAAAAAATGGAAAACAGGAAAGAAAGATAGCGGTACTATAAGACCGCTGAGCAAGGATAAAAAAGAATAAACAGAAAGAAAATAAATAAATAAAAGAAAAACCCACAGTGGAAGGTGTGAAGTCGGTGATGTACTGGCAGTTGGGCGAGACCATATTTTTAGAAGAGGTAATTCAAGAACAAACAGAAGAGGAAGAACAAGACACCGACAATGGAGAAGTGTGAGTGTCCGTTTGAAAGGGGTTGGAACGGACAGGGGAGGAGGAGGAGGAGGAGGAGAAAAGTGGGCGGAGCCGGCGTCGGCCAATCAGCGCGAGGACACGCCCACTATTCTTGCTGCAGCCGAGAGAATGATGGAAGGGCCGCCGCCACGAAACACACACATATATCACGGAATTTATGATCTGTCAATCGTCGATCATGTGCGCCGGTCGCAACGGTGGGCGTGGCCTGCGGATGGCAACTGTAGGCGTCCCTTTGGGACTCGACAAAAAAAATGAAGAAGAAGTCAATTTTTGGAGCAAGCATGATCGAGTTAGGCCCTTCGGAGTGATTTATTGGGGCCTGGAACTTTCTGAGGATTCTGACAGCTTGGATAAGTTTGTGAAATGAGGAGCTGGAGCAACTGAAAGAAGACTGAAAAAAAAAACGCTTGAGCTCCAAAAGTGGCAGTTCTAAGTTAGAAAGTATGTTGATGATTCTTCAGTTATTTTTTGGAGAAAGTTTTCAAGATGATCTCAGAACTGGTGATCATCAAAAAGACCGGGAAGCTGGCTGAAACTCCAACTTTCCGTTTCCAAGGTCCTTGAAATGCAAACATTCTGGGAAAATGTTTAGTCGCCACTATAGTGGCTCGCCAAGGACTACTTGGAGAGGACACTAAAGTGGCCACTATTTTCCGTTTTAGTGGCCCCTTCAGTAGTTTTTCATCCAATATACCTTCCAGTAACTGATAATTTTAAAACAAACAGATTGGACCAGTTATGTCGATCCATTGACCCCTAAAGTGGCCACTAAAATGTTTAGGGGTCTAGTAGTAGCACTTAGACTTTTATAGTGGCCACTTACTTTTGAACCCTTAAGGGGCCACTAATTTGACTGCTATAGTGGCCACCAAAAATTTTCCCAGTTGGTTAGGAAGGAAAAAGAAGTAAACTTAGAAGCTAGAGCTTTTCAAAAAGATTCTGGAACTTTCTGGAGGTTCTGAAAGCTCAAAGAAGTACTTGGAATGAGCTCCTTGGAGCTGGAGAGGTCAACTTTCAAAGCTTGAACTGAAAAGTTAGTGTGGCCAAGAATGCAGTTTCAAGCTCTTTTTGGAAAGTTCTAAAGGATGTCGGACTTTCTAGAGATTAAAAAAAGTCCCTGAACTGATTTTAGATCCTTTTAAAGGTTGACTGTAGGATCAGTGAACTTCAGAAGAAGAAAAGATTAATTAAATTTTTTCCGATTTTTCAGAGCCTGTCTCAAGCTCAACTTTGAAGTCTTGCGAACTTTTGTCAGCATCGGACAAGTCCAAAAGTTCCACACCTTACCTAAAACCGGCTGAATTTTAAAACCATTATTCATCTCAAAAATCCATCAAATGATCCGTTGGCTCATTTATGAACAACCTTTCAATGGAAAAGCCTGTCAAAAATCAAAAACTTCTTGAAATTCAAATTTCGGAGCTTCTTCAAGGCCTCAAATTTACCATCAGGCTCTTCTAAAACGTTGCTCAATGGATCCTAAACGGAAAAGCTCCTTTCAAAAAAATAATTAACCCATTCCCAGGCCCGATTTTTGCAAGCATCCCCATAAAAACTCGACAATATCAGACTGATAAGACGCGGTTCGAGATGAGATGTCGGCGTCTTTTGTCGCATCGTTTATTATTCTTGTGCCCCGGGTTTATGATTTGATATGGGAAGGCAGTGACAAGGCCAACGGCGCCCCCTTTTCCACCAATTTTTTGATGGATGAGGTGTACATCAAAACCAACCCAAACTTGTTATTGTGGTGTGAAAAATGGCGAGTGAAGGTAAATCATGGATTGGTTGATAGTGGAGGAAACTACAAAAATTGGAATTTTTGAGTCAAGTCAAGCTGGAGAAGGTTTGATCTTTAGAGTTATACAAAGACCATTCAATCAGAAAAAGATATGGAAAAAAACGATATCTTGATCACAACTTCATGGTACTGGGAAAATTTTTAGTGGCCACTACAGGGTTTAGACCTTTTAGAGGCCACTAAAGTAGCCCATTTAGTGGTCACTTAAGATGTTAAAAATTAGGGGCCACTATAGAGGTCTAAGTGCTACTACTAGACCACTAAAAATTTTATTGGCCACTTTAGGGGTCAGTGGATCAACATAACTGGTCCAATCTGTATGTTTTAAAGTTATCAGAGTTACTGGAAGGAATACTGGATGAAAAACTACTGAAGTGGCCACTAAAACGGAAAATATTGGCCACTATAAAGGTGGGTTTAGTAGCCACTTAAGGGCCCTCTCCAAACAGTCCTTGAGGAGCCTCTATAGAGACCACTAAAAATTTTCCCAGGACTGTAAATTTATGAAACTGACATATAAAACTATATAAACCCTATTAATGTGAAGAGAAAAACATGAGTGAAAATAAATCACAAACCGATTGATAATACTGATAAAACTGAACAAAACTACAGTAAAAGTTTATTTTTGAAGTTTTTTTTAAAGCTTCTGTTCAAAAATCTTTGCTGAGATCTTTAAAGGAGCATATGGGAATTTTATAAAGGTCCTGCCACTTCCAAAGCTATTTCGGATTATTCCAGACTCCTGCAAAAAAATTTTTCAAACCGTCCCTGAAATTTTAAAAATCCAATTTTAGGCTCCAGGATTCGTCAAAAAAACCGGCTGTGTAGATTTTTTTAGAGAAATTACGAAATTTCTAATCTTATCGCAATTTTTTTCAAGGCCATTCTGAGTTGAAATATGATAAAAATAAGCTAAATTTACTGCTTTTTAACTCCAAATTTTGGTAGGAGATTGGATTAAAAAAATTTTTTTCTCCAGAAATCAACGACGATTTTTGAATTTTTGAAACTTGAATCGCCATTTTTGCCCAATAATGGCATTTCGAGGGCTCTTTTTTAAATTAAGATATAAGGAATCTCATTTGAAAAATTTGAAAATAATTGAAAAAAATTTCATTTTCAACAGTATTTTTTTATTTTCTATGGATTTTGTAACTCTGGCATTATTAAAAAAATATGTGATCCAAGTTATGAAAAAAATTAGAGAAACCGTAGATAGTGATATCGAGAATGATTATCGCAAAAATCAAATCATGAGTTTAATTTTGTGAATTTTTAGAATGATCTGAACTGTCCCCACAGATTTCCAGTACTTATACCAACTACCTTCTTGTATCCACTCAGATTTTCTCGATTAGGATCAGATCTCGTCCAATTATCCTCTGTTAACACGACGCTTGGTTCTTCCTTTCAACTCCCTAAGAGCTCGGGCCAATTGACCTTGTCGCCAAATGTGCCAAAAACCGCGGCTTGGGCCACAAATCTCCCGCTGAGCCTTGTTTGGGCATCCAAATGGTGTCATGTGTGAGTGTTTATAATGTGTTAGGAGCGAAAGGGAGGAGGTGACAACGTGGTGGGAAAAATGTGGAGATTTATGTCAGTTTTGACTGACAAGGGTAGGGCAAAAATATTCGGTTAGAAAAATTTAAGGACAGGGTTGCTTTGAAAGATTATGATTCCAAATAAATTGAGAAATTTGCATTATTTTGTTTTTTAGTAGAGTTATGAACACTCAAAGCTTAAGAATTCACCCAAAAAATAAATTTTTGGCAACTTTTACACGTCACAACTCGACTAAAAAAATCGAAAAAAAGCATATTTCCGACTAATGGGGATTTTTTTAAATAATTTATTTTAAAAAAATTGAAAAACCAGTTAAAAAAATTCTCCGCGGTATAAAGGAGCACAGCGTAATTTAATTAGGGTCTCGAAGCGAAGAGCCATTTTTAGTGGTATTCCAGGCCTTGAAGAAATTCTGTAGCTTGAAAATTTCAGCGATAATTTTTTGGTAAGACCCGAAAAATGCTTGAAAAAGGCTGCTCGAGAAAGACTCGAAGAAGACTCGAAGGAGGCTCGAAAAAGGCTCGAAAAAGGATCCGCAAATTCACGAAAAATGCTCGAAAGAGGCTCAAAAAAGACTCGAAAAAGACTTGAAAAAAGCTCGGAAACGACTTGAAAAAGACTCGAAAAAGACTTGAAAAAGGCTCGAAAAAGACTCAAAAAAGGCTCAAAAACGGTTCGAAAAGGACTCGAAAAGGGCTCGAAAAAGGCTTGAAAAAGACTCAAAATAAGCTCGAAAAAGACCTAAAAATGTCTTAAATTGGTCAATTCATGTATAAAATGCTCAAAAAACTCTCTAAACCCCAGAACAAAAAGCAGAAAACGAAACATTCCGCGTTGAGCTTTCCCCGCGTTCATAAATCAAGTGGCCACTGAGCGTCGGGCTCATTTTTCTCGACTTTCAAACGTCGGCTAATTTTTCAACCTTTCCCCCAAGAGCCACTGAAAATCAGCAATTCACCGGCAATAACCGGACATTTTTCGTTCAGTTTTATTGCTTTTCGTGGAGCTTTTTTTTCTGAGAACACATGTGGGCCTTCCGGAGCTAATTTTTTGGAACATCTGGTGAAAGGTTGGAATTGATACTTTCCATGCGGAAAAAAAGGAGCAAGTTCTGGCGTTTTCAAGTTTATTCTTGGAGGTTTATGAGGTTACCGTTTCTGGTTTATTATAATAAAACAAAAAAATTAGAATTACGACAATCTGTGGTTGCTTTCTATGTTAATGAATAATAATAAAATAAAATAAAAATAATTGATTTTTGGATTTTTGGAATTTCAAGATTTTTCATGGTCAAACTTTGATTACTCGGATTAATCTAATTTTTTTCAAATAAAATCTCCTGGGAAGGTTTTTTTCAGTACTGTTTGATGCTCTCATGAATATTAAAATATAATTTTTTCTCAAAAAATTGGAAGAAATTCAAGATTTTCCTTAAAAATCCCCTGATTTCCAAGCAGAAAATTTCCGTAAAAATGCCAAATCCTCCCGTAAACTCCTTCGATAGAATCAACATGTGGCGGAAGGACGATCCTCGCCAGAACACCTCCAATAATTAACCTGGCCGCTAATCACCGGCTACCGTAACCCGTCAAGAGAGTCGCTATCGATCCCCAGGCGTCGCCTCGTTTACAGCCAGCCGCTTATCATTTTCCTGATTAGCACTAATTTACGAAGGTAGTTTGTCAGTTTTATTGCCGTTTTTTCGACTCCAAACGACGTTTGAAATGTTGCCATTTGTGGATTGTATTCTCAATGGAAAATTGCTCAAATAAGGTGAAAAAATCGGTTGGAAAAAAATTTAAAAAAAAAGGTAAGTATTTTCTAAAAAAAAAATCTCTATTTTTTCAAACTATCGATGGTTTTTTTCTACTCGATCTAACCTCAAAAAAACAGCTCAGAGCTTAAATTTGCTCAAGAAAGTCCCTTAAGTAACCACTTGAAGTACTGACTCCTTTTAAGCCGCCTAATTACTCTAAAATTTCCCCAAACCGACTAAGAAAAAAAATCCAATTCAAAAATTTTCCGAATTTTATTTTTTCCGCTCAATCTAACCTCATAAAAAAACAGCTCAAAGCTTAAATTTGCTCAGATAAATCCCTTTAAGTAACCACTTGAAGTTTTGAGCAATTACTTGAGGATTTCACCTAATTTTCAATTAACCTTCCCCTGATTTTTTTATTAAAAATTAAAAAAATCAACAGTTTTTCTGAACATAAGAAAAAAATTCATAAAAATTTTTTCCCATGATTTTTTTCCACTCGATCTAACGTCATAAAACAGCTCAAAATCTAAATTTGCTCCAGAAAATCCCTTTAAGTAACCATTTGAAGAGTTGACTCCTTTTTCATTCAAATTTTTTTCTAGAATTTTGTGATGATTTTTTTTCTACTCAAGTCAACCTCATAAAAAAATAGCTCAAAGTTTAAATTTAATGAGGAAATTCCCTTAAGTAACCACTTGAAAAAGTTGGCTTTTTTTCAGTTGCTCAACTACTTTTTGCTAAAAAAATTTTTCACCATTTTTTTATTAGAAATAAAAATTCTATAGTTTTTTTGCAGTATGAAATATTCACGAAAATTCATTCTCAAGAAAAATTCAGATTTTTTCAAAAAAAAAATTTTAACAACACCTTTATCGTTTACCTGGCTAATTACCCAGTTTCCTGGCTCATGAAAAAAAGGGAAAAGTAATTTGTTTACAAGGGAAAAGAACAAGAACGGGCCAGGCGTCGGGTCATAAAACGTCGACTGTGCAGCGGGGCCTCGGAAAGAGATATATTATACAACGAAGACACCCTCAGGCAACCCCTCTTTCATCTCATTTCGCAACATTGCCCGCTCGTAAATTTCGGCGTCTTTTTGAACCGTTCTTTTACGTCGCAAAAGTGAAGGGGAGAGGTGAGAAGAAAGGTGACTAATATTGTGACATTCACAC